ATTATTTTAATAATCGATTAGTCGTCGACTAATCGACTAATCGTGGAAGCCCTACAACGTATGGCTATCTTTTCAAGGTAAAGCTGATTTGAAACAAAGGTTTGGAACAAGCTATAAAAGTTGTGTAAAATATATGTTGCTGAAGYCTCTTTACAGAATTCAGCTTCTCAGGTTTTCAGTGAGTTTACAGTGAGCAGAACATCATCCATCCAGACCTGGAACAAGCTGACACTGATTTTAAACAGATAGACTGTAAATGTAAACTTCTGTTCTTCAGGTCTCCTGTTAAAATAAGACCTATAAAAAATAATATATGAAGAATAATTCTACTGACATACCTACAAAACAGTCATTATTAAGGAATATGTGATATTGTTTTAGCAGCAAAAGTAATTGTAATTGCTGTTTTGTAATTAAAGCGAAAAAATTGTGTGACGTGTTCCTAATTTATTTATATATATAAAAACACATCAGGAAACTGCAGTATTTTTTTTTTGCACAAGGTCATCATACTGTCAGAACCTCACAGCAGCTCATGCTAAGTTGCTTATCAACCTTAAACTTTCGCTCCACTATAACAGATGGAGCAAAGGCACAAAGACACCGTAACATCAAAGTGAAAATGTGTAGCACGCACATATTTTTCTGTGTGTAATACTCAATGAAAATGTGTAATTGCTTTGAAAAATCTTTTTTTCTTTCTTTTGCTTATTCAGTCCTCTGACTCCACTGTGATGAAGCAGAAATTAATTGGAATAACTAAACGCTCCTCTTACCTCTAGAGTTGGTGGCCATGTCCGCCACCTTCTGAAAGGCATCTAAAAAGGCTACAGCTGCCAGAATTGTGGTCCTGCAAAAAATAAATAAATAAAACAGCACGTTGACTCCTAACTTACTGCATAAAGAGTCTGTAAACATCGCATAAGAAACTTGAGCACAGAGGTTTACAGTTTGCTTGAACTGCTTCTCACCTGAGTTGAGAGTGCAGCTTCGTGGCCTTGGCACTGAAGTCTTCCCACACAGGGTACGAGCTCTGATAAGGAACGAGGAAAACATTTCATCAAACGAATATCTGAGGACATCTGGGTGCAAAGGAACACTCTGTTTAAAAACATACAGATTTAAGAAGACAAAATATTCCATCCACGAGGYCAGTTTGTGGTGCAGCTTGATGAAACAGAAACGTGGCCTCTAACAAAATTAAATGTGCTGACTTGTCCTTGAAGTTGGGGTCTATAAAAAGTGGAACTGCACTTTTTTTTTGGTCTGAATTGCTCCTTATTGTAACTCCACAAGCCCCTCTTTCACCGCTTCTCTGAGGTGTGTTTCAAAGCAACTCGTTTTGAGGCTGTCTCTTTACATCTAAGCAAAAAATTAAGATGTCTACGCAGAAACTCAATTCAAATTAAAAGAAAAAATAAGTAGGACTTCTGGATGGGTTCTTCTTTAGTGAAACGTTTCGTCTCTCCTCCAAGAGACTTCTTCAGTCTGAAGAGTTTCAGGTGAACTCAGCCTTATAAGCACTGCCTCCACATGGACAAACAGGTTAGTCACATGCAAAAGAGGGCCATCGGCTAACAATAGGGTTGATTGGCTCTATTGTTCATAGAGGGTCATGTGCCCCATCAGACTGAAGAAGTCTCTTGGAGGAGAGACAAAATGTTTCTTACTTTACTTATTTTTTCTTTTTGATTTTTTTTTACCTGGGTTATTGAGATGCATCAGGTCAATTCAAATTAATTCTTAATTCAAAAGAATTTAAAGACTAAAAACATGGATTTTGTATGATATGTCTCCTTTTAAAGGGCCATCTGGATGTCTCAGTGCTTATATTATTCAGTTATCAATAAGAACTCTCTTTTATCCTCTCTTCACATTATGATTGTTTATGTGCAGGTAGCACAGGCTTGTCTGGATCAAATTTACCACCAGGTAATCACTCTCTGCCTCGAGCTCTAAGAGCCGAAGCCAAACATAAAACACACTGAAGGCTAGATCCCATTAAAGCCAGAGCTGAAGCCCCGAAGTAAAGAAGAAAAAAAAAAAGAATAACCTCTGTGTGCCTCTTTGATGGAGACAAGCCAAAAACTGAGTAACACATCCTGACTATATATAGCCAGGGTGCAATCWGGAAAAAGTCTTGCTCGTCATCACTTCTAACATAACCCCCCCTTCTGGTAATGACGGAGGTTAACTCCCAGCTTTCTTGGGTGAAGCTTTTTGCCTTAGACAGTGATTTAGAAGCGATCCTCGCAGGAAAATAACTTAGCCGTAAGCCTTCCAGCCTCACTGTTCACACTTGACTTCAACAGGTGCCTAATTGGCTTGGGAGCTCTGCGACTCCCAGAGGCAGGAGGGATGCTCTGCCAAGACAGCTGAGGGCAGAGTGGGTGGAGGGGGAACAGCGGGCAGAGACATGCAGCATTCAGGTGGGTACGCAAATCTGGATCCTTATCCACACCCAGCAGAATCCAGGGAGGCAAGGGTGGATAGGATGCCATAAGTGAAAGAGGGGGGGAAAAAATAAAGGCTCCTCCTCCCATCAGTGACTCGTCCTTTACCAGAGAGCGAGGTTAAAGGCATTACCCTTGGGGCTGGCAGGCGATGATGCTCAAGGACTGCATCAAAAGAGGGGGGGTCTTTAAATGAAAATGTGCCACTCAAATCTGATCTAATCTAGTTGAGTCATTCTCATGCTGCCCGCTGTTCTTTCACCTCCTCCTACTCACTTTTCTCTCTTTCCCTKTTCCTGTAGCTTCATCAGACAGTTATATAACCAACAGGTGCAGCTTGTGGTTTAAAGCAAAACTAGGATCCCAAAGTGAACCGCATGTGCATTGTCCAAATGAGTAAACAGGTCTGTTATTGTTCGCCGTCAGGAAGGCTGCTCTGTTGTGTGTGTGTGTGTGTGTGTGTGTGTGTGTGTGTGTGTGTGTGTGTGTGTGTGTGTGTGTGTGTGTGTGT